GCCTTCTGTTATGGGAAATAGCCTGTGAAGAGATCTGTTACTGGTGTTGGGATCAGGCACCTGTAATAAACTAAGAATGTGAGGGTAGCTGAAATTAGCGCCATCACTGGTGTGGCTTAATTTCCTCAGGTTACTTGATGGTGAGGACCAGAGCTGACCGAGCAGACAGAGTTCCTTACAATAGAATTGGGTGTTTCTTTTCACTGCCATGCTACACACTTTTCACATTCACTCAACCCCTTTCTTATCTCACCTCCAGAGCACCACACTTTAATTTGCACAGAGCTTTTAGTAAACTGACCTGAGAGTAGCCTGTAAGTAGGTAGCTCTCCTTAAGCTACCAGTGGTAGTGCTCTAAGAGGCAGGTGCTGTCTGCTGGCTACATGCTCTGTGACCTTTACACCCATTTCTGGAGGGTAACTCCCAAGGGCAGGCAGGGGGTGTATGTGGCACTCCACCCCTCTCCGCTTCAGTTAAACATCCTACCTTGTTTGCCTGGTAGCTACATACATTCAAAATTTTAATATTGCAAACTGTCTTGTGAAAGAAAAGGACACAAAGACACATCACAGCAATCCTGTGGTGCAAGGATTTCCCACAAGGTACCTTTAATGTGTTTGCATCAGCAGCAAGCAGTCAGTGCTAGTTTTGGCACCAGGAGTTAGTTAGATGTGCAGCACTACACATTAGACACCAAGTCATCCTAACCAACATTTATCCATATGAATAGAGAAAGTGAACTAAAACATAGTACTATGAGCACATACAAAATCAAGTTGTGTGTTCTATCACACTTTCAGCTTGTAATATTAGAAAAATAAACTTAAGACAGTTACTAATCAGATGAATACATTTTTGTTGCCAACAGGCAAGAGTTTAAAAACCACGAGAAAACCCCCACGCTGAAGTTGTTGTTTTACAAAGGTTAGCTCACCCATAGTAACAAAACTGCTGTACAGAAAGCACCCTCTGCATTTTTGTCAAAATACTTGGAGCCAAAATAATTTTCCTACCCTAGAAAGTCACAGCTATGTTATGTTCAGAAACTCCATTCAGCTCTAATGGACGTGTTGCAGACTAAGTTACACTACTGCGGCAGAGGCAAAAGCTCAGAAGCTCACCTACGGTGGTAAACCGGTTGTTCCACTCAGTCGCTATGAACTCCAAGGTTGTCTCTTTGCTTCCATAACCATTTATCTGCCATTTTCATCTCAACAGATAAAATACTCTGTTGAGTATATAAAAACTGTTATAAAAAGGCAATCATAAAAGATAAGGTATTGGCAGGCATGTCAGCTTTTTTTAATAAAAAAAATAGCCATTATATCTATTTAAATAAGGCTTCTTGTTACAGATTGTTCCAGTTACTGAAGGAAAACAAGGCCTGATGAAAAAAAATTATCCCCCATAACCTTTACACTTCCTGCCCCAAGAACACATCCTACAGGAAAAGTCATTTAATGTGCAAAGTGACAAAACAAACACTGGGGGAAGCTCCTGAAATGATATGCCCAGTCTAGTCTCTCTTGCATTATCTTCAAAAACCTTAAAAAAACCCTAAAACAAAGTTCTAAAATACACAAAAAAACCCTTCATCTTGATATTCTTTCCAAAACAAATATGTACAGCACATTAATATGCAATATGCAAAAGCTCTGTGTTGCTGTTGGCAACATCTCTGCCCTCCCCAACCCTATTCACATGTGTACCTCTACTAAAACACAATTACATCACTAAGCCTGTTAGTTTGAAAAGGGATTTTAATTCACTTAAAACTTGTAAATTTTTGTGTAGGGGCTCCATTCATTTGACTCTGGATTGTAGACTTCAACTGTGTTCAAGAATTCATTGCCATCAAACCCCCCAACTGCATAAATAGTGTTTGACACCGTGGTAATCCCGGCATTGCTCCTCGGAGTAGTCATGCTTCCCATCATCTTCCACTCATTCTTAGCAGGGTCGTACATCTCCACGCAGCTCACTGCATGAGAGCCATCAAAGCCACCACCAACAAAGAGCTTTCCTACCAAAAGGAAACAAAGTGAATGCTTCACTGCTAAGCACCAGCTGTGTCGCCAAACCCAGCCTCCTCTCTAGGGAGGCAAACTAAGGCAAAGGGAAGGAACTTGAGGTTTTCTGTCGGAAACCTTTGCCTTATTCACAGTCTGAAGTTACAGTATTGACCTGCTTTGAGGCTCTTGATCATAAGAGCTGACTAGGAATTATTGCAGAGTCCAGATTCAAACAGATGCAGCTCTTGAAGCTGCACAGTGATGTTTTCGTAAGAAAGAGGTGGGGGCAAATGCCCCAAAATAAGATTTTTTGATTTTTCTGGTTACAGTTCTTAACTGAAAATTGGAGGCATAGCCAGGTTCTTACTGTATTGTTTCCTCCCTGAAGAAGGAACACAGCTTTGTACTCTGCTCGCATTGGAGCTTAACATGAAAAACTCATCAAGCACAGGAAGCTGCTTATGCCTGTGGAAGCCTACCGTCATGAACGGCCACTCCAGCTCCTCGTCGAGCCACGTTCATGGGTGCAATCAGGGTCCAGGTGTTGTTCTCTGGATTGTAACGCTCCACACTATTCAGGCAGTTCCACGATTCTGCTCCTCCAATTATGTATAAATATCCACCCAGCTCACACACTGCAGACTGATGTCTCCCTGCAACCAAACGCCAGGAGTTACAGCCCAGCACCTAAGTCACACACCAACAGTATGCCACAGCAGCTGAAATACAAACAGCTTTTTTGTTTGGTTTTAAACCTGCAGTTTTGCAATCACCCTTTTCCCCCTCTCCCAAACTACACAGCAAACTTACGGATATTAAGGGGAGCACAGCTTGTCCAGGATTTTGTTATGGGATCAAACACATCACAGTTCTTAAGTCCCTTTTGGCCATAAGGATCTGAACCACCAACAATGTACAGTTTTCCGTTCAGGGCACATACTCCTATTCATATAGGAAAGAATAAGTAAACAAGCTAATAAATGAATAAATTTTTAAAAAACCCAAACAATCACCTGCAGATGTGTTACCTGCATTGCAGCGATTGGTTCTCAGCTCCGGAACAGGAGTCCAGTCATCTATTTCTGGCTCATACATTTCTCCACAGCTCAAGTCATCCGAGTGACCGTTTGACCCACCCACAACATACAGCTGCCCCTAGATGGAAAAAAATAAATACCTGCTTCACATATAACAATTCAAATCATTAGCACTTTAGTAACTGTGTAACTACAGTTACGCAACTTCTGCTACTGTTTTGTAAAGTTTGTCCTACATTTACATAACGTCACATTTCATCTGATCTCCACCCACCACACACCATTAAAACTGCCATCTGGAACCGAGCTCTTGGTGTTCTCATCGGTGCAATGAAAGTCCAAGTGTCCTTTTGCGGATCGTAGCATTCCACTGTGCGCAAACACTCCTCTCTGTTATATCCACCTAAAAGCAAAAGGTCAGATGACACCACGTTTCCAAAGACCAACTGCTTTGATGCTGACGAACACCAGCTCTAACACAGTGCACAGAGTTAAGCAGCCACTGTGCCCTCCCGCTCGCAACCGAGCGGGTTGTTTAAAGAACTGTTACTCTCTCCTTTACCTGCTGCGATCAGCTTGCCGTTAAGTTCAGCCGTGCCCAGCCCAGACCGAGCATACTGCATTGGAGACATGGGCTTCTCTATGATATCACTTGGTTGAAGCTCAAAACTCAGGCTCTTCAGCAGCCGTGGTGTGCTTGTGGGAGAGCTCTGAGGGCTGTTACGGCCATGCAGGAATATCACGCACAGCACACCATCCAGAACAGCAAGACACAGGTAGGTGTTACCTGTCGCCAGGAGAAAAGGAGAGACGGC